CTCTGTTTAAAGCTGCTTTATTGACGATTTCAAACTATGTCCGAAGAAAAAAAACTACTATTAAAATTTATCATTTATCAACATCATTGTCATTATCAACGTTATCGTCATCATCATCAACATCGTTATCATCATCAACAACATCATCATCACTGTCATCATCAAGTCTGATTCTAGGTTTTATATGCTACTACTTCAAGGTTCCCACCGCTGTTTCTTTGCTAAGCGAAATCTGGCAACATTGTTTTTCCAAATAAAAAATTTATTGTGCCTGAGAAAAAATGTGCGAACCTTATTTTTCAAAACGCAACATGGTGGACAATCTAGAACGTCACGAATTTCACCACAAAAGATTTATAACAAATTACTTACCACAAACTTCAAGTTTGACGATCGGTCATAGCGAAGATGGTGTAAACAAAGTTTTGTTCTCATGGTCAACTAATTATTATATATTATATTTACATACTTGGTCCTAAAATCTTTAACATCCTTCTAAAAGTTAGGAATAGTAAATCAAAATCATTTTACGTATTGTTTGAAAGGTTTTTTAGTACATAAATGTTTGTATAATGACTGTAAGTTTATCAGTGAGTAAATGTTGTTCATTATCTTGTTTTATTTATCATTTTGTTATGCCTCTGTTCAAAGCTGCTTTATTGACGATTTCAAACTAGGTCCGAAGAAAAAAAACTACTATTAAAATTTATAATTTATCAACATCATTGTCATCATCAACGTCATCGTCATCATCATCAACATCGTTATCATCATCAACATCATCATCATCACTGTCATCATCAAGTCTGATTCTAGGTTTTATATGCTACTACTTCAAGGTTCCCACCGCTGTTTCTTTGCTAAGCGAAATCTGGCAACAGCGTTTTACCAAATAAAAAATCTATTGTGCCTGAAAAAAAATGTGCGAACCTTATTCTTCAAAACGCAACATGGTCGACAATCTAGAACGTCACGAATTTCACCACAAAAGATTTATAACAAATTACTTAACACAAACTTCAAGTTTGACGATCGGTCATAGCGAAAATGGTGTAAACAAAGTTTTGTTTTCATGGTCAACTAATTATTATATATTATATTTTACATACTTGGTCCTAAAATCTTTAACATCCTTCTAAAAGTTAGGAATAGTAAATCAAAATCATTTTACGTATTGTTTGAAAGGTTTTTTAGTACATAAATGTTTGTATAATGACCGTAAGTTTATCAGTGAGTAAATGTTGTTCATTATCTTGTTTTATTTATCATTTTGTTATGCCTCTGTTTAAAGCTGCTTTATTGCCGATTTCAAACTATGTCCGAAGAAAAAAACTACTATTAAAATTTATCATTTATCAACATCATTGTCATCATCAACGTCATCGTCATCATCGTCAACATCGTTATCATCATCAACAACATCATCATCACTGTCATCATCAAGTCTGATTCTAGGTTGTATATGCTACTACTTCAAGGTTCCCACCGCTGTTTCTTTGCTAAGCGAAATCTGGCAACATCATTTTTCCAAATAAAAAATTTATTGTGCCTGAAAAAATGTGCGAACTTTATTTTTCAAAACGCAACATGGTCGACAATTTAGAACGTCACGAACTTCAAGTTTGATGGTAGCAAAGATGGTGTAAACAAAGTTTTGTTCTCATGGTCAACTAATTATAATATATTATGTTATACATAATTGGTCCCAAAATCTTTAACATCCTTCCAAAAGTTAGGAATAACAAATCAAAATTACTTTAGGTATTGTTTGAAAGGTTTTTTAATACATAAATGTTTGTATAATGAATGTAAGTTTATCAGTGAGTAAATATTGTTTATTATATTGTTTTATTTATCATTTTGTTATGCCACTGTTTAAAGCTGATCTATTCACGATTTCAAACTGTCTGAAGAAAAAAAACTGCTATTAAAATTTATCATTTATCAACATCATTGTCATCATCAACATCATCGTTATCATCATCAACGTCATCGTCATCATCAACATCATCGTTATCATCATCAACGTCATCGTCATCATCATCAACATCGTTATCACCATCAACAACATCATCATCACTGTCATCATCAAGTCTGATTCTAGGTTTTATATGCTACTACTTCAAGGTTCCCGCCGCTGTTTCTTTGCTAAGCGAAATCTGGCAACATCATTTTTTCAAATAATAAATTTATTGTGCCTGAAAAAAATGTCGAACCTTATTTTTCAAAACGCAACATGGCGGACAATCTAGAACGTCACGAATTTCACCACAAAAGATTTATAACAAATTACTTACCACAAACTTCAAGTTTGACGATCGGTCATAGCGAAGGTGGTGTAAACAAAGTTTTGTTCTCATGGTCAAGTAATTATTCCAAGTATCAACTTTGTAATAAATGATAAATTTCATCCATTTCCGTCACATTTTTTTTAACATTATTTATTCATTATAGGTGGAGATAACTACTGAACTTTACCAATTCTGTAATATCTCGTGCTTTTTTTTATCGGCGCTGGTTTCACTTGATATTTTTAGAACGAAGGCAAAAATAACTATTTGAAATCGCCTATATAGCGCCGGTAGTAAAAAAATCTTAAATCATCTACGCTGGATACACCTTGAGAAGACAGTAAGTGGTGATTGCAAACTGTATCCGATCGTATATGTTTGTATATTTTTTCTAGGATGTTAATCCATCGTCAGTCAGTACGTTATATTTATACTACACAGATTGCCGGATTGACTGAGAATATGATGAAAAAATCTCACGCATGTTTATAAATTGTTAGTTCTATTTTTATGATGCTCTATGCGAACGTATGTAGGTTGAAAGCATTCGTCTTTGTGTGTTTCGGTTGGCGATTTTTGACGATCAGGCTTTTGACTTCGAATAAAACGTAAATAAAAATCATATTTTTAAAATGTGTTTTGTACGATGTGCCGATTTCATAAATATTGTCAGCTTGACGGTCTTTTTAATAAACTTGCTGAGACGCTAATGCCCGATTTCACTATTAACTGATGTTTCAAAAGATTTCAATACAATTAACCACGAACTCTTATTCTAAGCCTTTAATTGGTAGAAGTCAAAAAGCTTCATTCGGCGGTAGTTTAATGGCCAGAAGACCTCGAGTTTTCAAGGCGACATCTAACCACAACTAGAACTTCAAGCCCAAAGCGTTCACAAAAAGAGAAAGGAAGTTTTGGGAGGTCAACTTATGAATTTTGGCAAAACGTTCCTCGCGTATGAATTCTTCATACTATGAGGTATTTCCGCAGAAATGAAAATATTATTAAACCGACACCAATCCGGCACTATAAACAGACGAGTTTTTACGAAAATACAGTTATTTCCGCCAAAGCTCACGTTCCATACCATACCGTGATTACGTCAGTCGTTTCCGATACCGAATTGCTGCTTTCCTTGTAAAACGGTGAGCAGGTTATTACTTGCCAGGACGTGACTTTACATCGATTCCTGTTTCTCAGCTATGCCTAAATTGGTACTAAATATTGAGTGCTTCGTCACAAAAAGCTTTTAACAGGTCTTTGGCTTCTGCTAAACTGTGGCAATACGTGCACAATACGCGTCCAATCGCTAAACATTTCGAAAATCCTTCACAGAGACATCGACATCCCTTGACGGACCGCAGGACTATGACGAAGATAAGTATTTCGAAAATGAGAATGAATGTCTTTTGGATGTTGTATTCCAAAAACGTTGTCGCTCACTTCAGTCAGTATGTCAACTGTCAGTGTAACTATCTGTCAGTCTGTCAACTGTTAGCCTATCAATCGGTACATGATTATGATGATGATCCATAGTTCTCCCATAAAATACTGCTATGTCAAGACCGAAAGAGCTTTGTAGCTTTTGGAAATTGTTCCAGAAAAAAATAAACATCGCCCAAACTTCGACTTTTAGCGATTCGGCAGCACCTGATCATTTAAAAGAAAAAGATGCGGTGAAAGATTGGAGTTGAGCATTGTAGGAGCTGAAGGAGGGTATACCATATCTCAATTTTGTTATCATTTATACCCAGTGACAACAGTGTTACATCCAGAAAAAATGATTTCTTCAACTTGTTTTTTTCGCAACATAATGACTATATTTAAAACATGCCATTGCAACAATGTCGATCTTTTATCTTTGTTTTTGTTTACCTTTGTTCAAATCTTTTTATGGGGCTGAGCAGTACAGATATTATTAGTTATTGCCCTTTCATTTACTAGTGTTAAGCATAACAAAATGCCTCGAGTTAGAAGACGTCCAAATTATAACCACCGTTAGCGACTTTGACAGCGGTAAAATTATTGCCTATCGAGATGTTGGTTTGTCCTATCGCAAAATCGGCGGCCGTGTTAATTGTACTGCATTGACGGTAATGCGTGTGTGTCGTGTGTGGATAGAAGAAGGTAGAGAAACACGAAGAAGGCCAACTGGTCCATGGAGGCGTACCACAGAGCATCAAGTCAGAAAAAGACAATGTCGACATTTATCAGCAACAAAATATAAAAGAAACGATAAACACGAAAAAATATGCACAAGATCAATAAATATCTTTATTATCACAAAGAAATCCAAAGGCACAATAACGAAATAAAAGGGTCTACTGGATATTTTAACCCGAACTTTTCGCATATGTGCTGACTGATCCCAGCTGAGGAGTACGTGGGACATCTTAGAATGGAGAAATTATTATATGCATAGCAAAAAGCTCTGTCTACGCTTGATGCTAACGTAATATTACCAGATGATGATATTTTTACTAGGACAGCGAAAAATGTCTAGCGATATCAAACGGTTAGGGACTGTGTACCAATTGGATGAGCCTGTTTGGCTGACTTGATCCATTTAATATGTCTATTATACTAATTTTTTGAGCAGAGTCAGCGTACTTGACCTCATTTCTTTTAACCAGAAACATGACGAGTTGGATTATTCTATCCGGATAAGCAATTTTTTTTATGAATTCAAGATTTTTTCTGTTGTTTCAGAGCCAGGCGATGCGCGTGGTGCGTACGATAGGCCAGGCGTTCGAAGTGTGCCATAACTTGTCGATCACGGCCCCAGAAAATAACGTGGACCACGAAGACGATCAGGACACGTTCACGCAGGATCTGCTCAGCGATCGACTCAGTGATATTACTAGTGATAAGCCTAAAAAAGGTAAGTCACTGTCATGTTTTTTTTTTCTCCTTGATGTTTCAGCATGATCGTTCTATTATTTGTTATGCAATGAACAATATTACATTACATTACATTAATTTGATATCATTATAAAGGGACATGAAAGACCTTTAAATTAAGGTATCACTCGACGCCCTTTTCCATTTAAGATTTTAAGGTTGGTGTCACCCCCGCTTAGGGGGCTGCACGTGTTAACGTGATTTTTTGCCAAACTTGAGTCCTGCTCGAAAACAAAATCGACGGGTCTGAGCGCTTTAAAAAAAAACTGAGCTGTCAGTAAACCCTGTATAATCTACTCGTAGTATAATAGAAAAATTATCGAGTATCAAGCACTTGATAGATAAACGTAAAAACTACTTGACTGTATAAGATTGCTAATATCTCAAATTCAAACTAAAATTCTTCATTTTCTTGTTGATGTTAGAAACAAAAAAACATATAGGAATTGGCAACTATAGTCAACGCCACACAAAGTGGCGTGCACGTCATCAAGGTGGGTGTGTTGAAAAATTTACATTGTTGCCAAACTTTTTGTAAAATAATAAAATTTATTATTTACATATCTAGGTTTATAAGCAATATTAACCTCAAATGAGAACAAAAATAATAGTATAATAAAATTATAGATCTGTACTTGCATAATCATTGAGTATGACAATTATTGATCAGATGACACTATGAAACTACCATATTTAATTGATAGCTTAAAGGTACTGAATAAAAATCCAAATGGGGTCCTCCAAATTTTATGCATGGTATTTATTTTACAGAATTCATACAGAAAAATGCATTCTAAAATTAGGTAAGCTACTGGTGTAAGCTTTTTCTGTACAATAAAGTTAGTCGTAGTTTCTTTCTTCAGCGCTGTCTGAATCTGAATCTTCATCACTCTCAAAGTTGATTATTAAAGGTTCGATGTCTGGTCGATCAAAAATTCGTTCTCTTTCATACCATTTAAAAATTTCTTGCTCAGTATGTCGAACACTATTTTTCCACATGTCTGGGGTAACCGTTTGTAGAGCCTCGTTCCACATATCCAAACAGTCTTTTTCACTGTTACCATCTCTACCAATATGTCTGTTATAGTAACCTTTTGCTATGCCCCAAATTAACTCAATAGGGTTAAATATACAATGGTAAGGAGGCAGACGAAGAACTTTGTGCCCATGTTGTTCCGCAAATTCATCAATCACGTATATTTTAGGTGGTTTGTTTCTAAAAAACACAAGAAATATAAACTGTCGACCAAAATATATATAATTAAGAAGCATTATGTACCGAGCAACAATACTCAATAGCTCTGTTTTAAACATTGTGTTTAAAAATGGTATGTTTTGATTTGTCAACCAGTCTTGGATATTTTTTTTTGTCTATGCATTGTTGGGCACTTTGTTCAATATCATGCTGTGATAAGGGGCGTTATCCAGTATAATCATAGATGGACTCTCCAATTTTTCTAATAACTGATGTTGAAACCATTTCAAAAAATTGTCCTGGTTCATCTCTCCATGGTAATCGCTCAATTTTGTTTTCGAAGAAAATATCGCTTCACTACCCTGAATAAACCCATTTTCATTTCCAGCATGTAATATAATGTATCTAAAATATATTAGTTTTAAATTTTATAGTGCAAATTGTGTAAAAGTACATACCTTTTACCATCTGTTTTAATAGCTTTCACGCTTTTGTGGTTTCCGTTTTGCCAAGAGCGACCTATGGTCCCATTTTGAAATATCCAAGTTTCATCGAGGAAGACAAACTGGTATAAGGCCTCAACCTTGGCTTGATTGTATTGCCTTAGAAATTCCACCCTTTTCAAAGCTATACTTGGTAGTTCCATGAGCCCTCTTCGCGGATTGTCCTTAAGCCACTTAAATCCAAGATCTCTAAGCAACCGCCTTAAAGACGTGGCACTACCATCAAATAATGCCCTATCTCTTAATCGAGACCATAAAGTTTGTATCGTAACTTGTTCTTCTGAAACCATGTGTAATATGACATTATAATTTAGTTAACAAATTAATGCAAATTTCTGATAAGTTATTATAATAAGATCTTACTTTTGTGATACATATTATAGATCACTTCTCGAATGGCACTTGTATCCAATGTCGCTGTGTTGGTTACACGTTTAATATAACTCCGCTTTTTCTTGGGCGATTCTAAATTTGCATCACTTTTCACACCCTCGGAAATACGACTAACTGTCCTTAAACTAATTTTTAAAGCAGCAGCAACACGCTACAAAAAATGAAATAAAATTTCACTATTATTAATATACATTACATATAATTATTAGTAACCTACCTCTTGAACAGCATTTAACGGCAACAAAAGCCCGTTGTTGTCCCTTTCTTGCTCAAAGTAGTGCATTAACGAGGCCACGAGTTCCTTACACCGACTATTTAACTGTTTGGGCATCTTTATATACCAAAATTGCCTTTATCTACTCGTAAAATGAATAATTTTGTTTTGAAACAAACAGTTGTTGATTTACAGTATGCGGGGCCAAAGGATTTATAAAGATTTGAAATGCCACAAATTGATTCAGTGTCAAAATTAATACAAATGTCAGTTCCCAGTTTAAATAAGTTTCAAGGTGACAATGTGTCAACGCTGCGAAATCGGTTTAGTGCGTTTACATGTCGATAAGTGATTGGAGCGTTTGCAAAACATTTTATTTCGCATAATGCGTCTAAATTTATCAGAAAGCAACTTATGTGATATTTTAATAACAATGTTTATATGACTATTAACCATAATAAGAGAGTAATGACCATTTTACAATTTATATATCACATTAATATGAAACTGCAATAGAGCAATTGTTTGTGATAGAAACCTAGGCATTAGGTCGGGGAATTTTTATCGTGATGACGTGCACGCCACTTTGTTTGGCGTTGACTATAAACTTAAACTAATACAAAATAACATTGAAACAAATTTTCTACACTTCAAACATTCTTATGGGAGAAAAACTCTTCAACACTATAAAAACACTGTTTGAACAGAAACCTTCTCAAATTTCATTTTACGGACCGCACTTTTGTTGAATATTGAACATTTGTAATCCTAAGTAATTTTGTGAGATTTGGCTGCCTTTGTAGTTAAATATAGATAAATGTAAAGGTAATTGACTTTTGATTCTGGTATTGTGCGTGTGAATATCACTGCTCACAAAAAAGTGTGCATAAAAAGCTTTATACTCGATGGTCCATTTGTTAAACTTTTTATGTTTTTTTAGACACTTTACACTGTCAATACGTATGACGTATAAATGACGTAATTGTCACGGTCTAATGTCACTCCCGATTGACGTCATTATATGACGTTGTAGTATGTCGTATGAAAGTTCAAATACAAAGGATGGGTATGATGTCTATTTGAGGTCGATATGACTTCAATCAACTAAATCAACAGACGCGCTGATGGCGGCTACTATGCACTCATGGACATGCAGCCTCCAGCGTCCGTTTGTTAAGTCATATTGCAAATCTTAGTATACAGGGTGTTTCAGTTTATTGTTGCATAACTTTAAGATTCGATAGAACTTTTAAAATTAATGAATAAAGTCTATATAAACATGGGTCGAAAAATGCGTGGCTTCCGAAATACAGGGTGTTTAAATTTACTTTTTAAAATAGTTTTTCTTAAATATTTCGAACAATATTTGATGTATAATAGTGAAAATTGGTATACAAGGGTTTTTTGGTACGACAAAACGAACCATGGGCATAGTTTTACTGTAGCCGCTAGAGGGCGCTCTCTACTGTACCTGCAGTGTATTAAAATGACCGAAAAATTTTTCTTAGTGCAATTTTTTGCTTTTTGAATAAAAAAACTGATTCTTTGAACTTTTCATCATAAAAAAGCTCTCCTGTGAGTTTTCGTTATAGTTAGCCCTTTTTGAGATATTTCGTATTTTAAGGTTCGATGCATTTTTAATTATTTATGGGAAAATAATATTTTTTTTACATTTTCGATTTGGGCATTACAAGTAATTATGATGATTGTGTTTTTAAACACAGCAATAATTCCTAACTCCAAATAAACACAAAAAACAGAATATTAATTTGTTTAATTTTCCAATATTACTCGTATTTTTAACAAATTAAATTAATTATTTAGAACTAAAATGCTATTGGATAGTTACGACAAACATACAAAATCTAAAGTAGTTGCTCGAAATGTAAACCCAATTGTTCAATACACAATTCACATCTACGAATGATCGAACGTGGTATAGCATTATTCAAATAAGGCCTTATTTCATCACATGCATTCCTGATTCTGTCTATTAGCATATCTATTGTTGTTACGGGAGTCTGGTACACTTTTTCTTTTAGAAATCCCCACACAAAGAAATCTAATGAATTTAGGTCAGGGGATCGTGGAGGCCAGGTGACCGGTCCTCCACGGCCGATCCATCTTTCTGGATAATTTTCGTCCAGCCAGATTCTAACTATTCTCGAATAATGAGCTGGACAACCATCAAGCTGGAACCAGGCCAATCTTCTTAAATCTAACATAATCATCATCCCACATATTTGCATGTCCAGCCTTTAAGAATACTGACTTTTTAACGTTACTTTATCATAAATAATTAAAAATGCATCGAACCTTAAAAATCGAAATATCTCAAAAACGACTAACTATAACGAAAATTCACAAGAGAGCTTTTTTATGTTGAAAAGTGCGAGGAATCAGTTTTTTTATTCAAAAAGCAAAAAATTGCACTAAGAAAACATTTTCGGTCATTTTAATACACTATAGGTACGGTAGAGAGCGCCCTCTAGCGGCTACAGTAAAACTATGCCCATGGTTCGTTGTGTCGTACCAAAAAACCCTTGTATACCAATTTTCACTGTTATACATCAAATATTGTTCGAAATATTTAAAAAAAAAACTATTTCAGAAAGTAAATTTGAACACCCTGTATTTCGGAAGCCACGCATTTTTCGACCCATGTTTATGTAGAC